GTGCTGAGTCAGATAAGTATGGAAAATTTGGTTTAGTCAAAAGACTCTTCAAGAAATCTTTTAGAACCTTAAAAAAAACTAAGAATGGTGAAGAAAAAGTTTAATGTTATCCTTTGAGAATCAGAACCAAAGGGAAAGAATGTAAACTTTTCTTTTCTCCATGAGTCTATTGCTGAATTTATTTTACCACTGATTGACTGATTGTTACTATATAATGATAAAATATCTTGGAGTGGGAACAAGCTTATTTGCACAGGGTTTCCATGAGATTTATAATAAAAATACAATCATATTTATAGTTATACAATAAACAATAATAATGATAGCAATAGTACCAACAACAGTTTAAACATTTATCAGTTGAGCCCTTTTCATTGAACTTTATATACAAGTTGGCAGAAATGTAATCAAGATTTCAACACACTAAGTTGTTGAGGCAGAAAGTTGGCCATTTGGTAAGTAATACTGATTTTTTTTTCAGGCTGTCCATTTCATTTATAAAATGTGAATTGCTTATGGAGGCTTCCTCAATGATTATTTCAATCTAGTCAACACTGCTTCCAAGGAAAGCAACATGGCCATAATTTCAAAATATATGTATTAAGTTAGAGAAGGGCAGTAGTGGAGATAAACTCTACCAAGGATGCTCCACTTTCTCTTCATAGAATGAGAAAAAAGAAAATTATGAGTCTGCATGATTTTAAGAATATCTCTTTTGAGAATATTTTGACACTTTGCAAGCTAGAATATGATTTTATTATTAAATTCACCAATATCTCTTTATCACATGAAGACATTATATCTGTAATAAAATACCACCATCATGAATTATTGTTATTGATGCCAATGATAACTGCCACTCAGGGAAAACATGGTTCTTGGTTAATGATTTTACTATATGCATCATGTTTTTCATCACTGTATCACTGTATCACTGTCATCCCATTGTTCATCGATTTACTCGTGTGGGCTCCAGTAATGTCTCTATTCCTCCCAGCCCTGAAATTTTAGCCTTTCCTTACTTGTCTTTCCCAATGATAGCAGGCTATTTCAGGGTCAGGGGAATGAGACCTTGAGACCTGTTATCGTTACTGTTTTTGGCATATCGAATACCCCACAGGAGCTTTCCAGGTTCTGCTCATGCAGGCAGGATACTTTTGGTAGCTTGCTGAGCTCTCCGAGAGGAATGAGAGGCAAATATATATATATGTATATATTTTTCTATGATTTGTTGCCAAATGTCTGAACCATTTGATGGGGTTCAGATATTTTTCATAATATTACTTAAATTTACATGCATTAGCTATATAGCCCCAGTAAAATAAAAACTTTATGAATCCTAGAATAATCATTCTGTTATAATATAGTGTCTAAATCAGTAGTTTGTACAGAATAGATCTCAATGGAAGTATTGTACAAATGGGAAAATTCCCTTATGTAACTCTCATATACCAGTCCTGTGAGATAAATACTACAATTACACTCACTTTCCAAACAACAATGCTGAGGTTTAATAGTTTATTGAATTATATACATGTCTACAAGACAAAGATGGCATTTATATATCCAACTTTTTCAAGTCGGAACATGAGAACTCAACTACTATAACTACTGTTTTTAATAAAAGAGATACTAAAAATGTTTTAAGTATTTTTGCATGAAAATATATAAGAAGTTATTAATACATCTAATAACTACGTAAATCTATCTGTGGTATAGTTTCTGAACAAATTATTTGGTATTAATATTAAAATTGGCATAAACAATATAACCACTGGGAAAACATTTTTTCTTTGACAGCTATTTAATCATGAGTCACATAAGTGAACTTCATAAATTAATCTGAATGAACTGATAGAAAAATGGTAGCTATTTACTATTTAATACTCCCAAATATTCCTTCAATATTTAATGACAGTAAAACTTTCTATATTGAAAATTGGGTATTCAAATCTCTCTTTTGGAACTAGACAAAGATGTTTTAGCAGTGTTCCCCATAATCAATTGATGACAGTGTAGTTCTGAGGACACTAAGAGAGTGTGGGTTCTAAGTATACAGGTCTCGAGTCACACTGCCAGGCACAATTTCAAAGCCACTGTGGCATGTGAGTGACCTGAGCAACTCATTTTCAGTGCTTCACTTTTTACATTTATTAAAAAAAAACAACTGAAAATTTAAATAAGCTCTGCATGTGAAGCACTGAGAATAATGCCAGATACAAATCAAACAAAGCAACTCAATTCTTTAATTGATGTTAATTTCATATGTGTGTATGAATATATAAATGTATATATATATATTTATATGATCTATCAAGGGTTTGGTGTCAGACCAAACAGTACTCAGGGCTTACTTCTGGCTCTGTGCTCAAGAAATCACTCCAGAAAGTGCTTGAGATAACATATATGGTGCTGGAGATTGAGTCAGCTGCATGCAAAGCAAATGCTATACCCACTGTACTATCTTTCCATCCACAATTTAAAAAATGTGTTTCTACTATAAAAAATGAAAATATTTAAAATGGAACACATCTGAAAAAAAAACAAAATTCTATATAATCAAGAGTTAATGAAGATAAATTGATTCAAAATCCATTAATTTTTTTCTTCAAATGAGTCACCATTTGAATGTTTTCTTTTTGAAACTCTGCCAATAGTACTACTTTATACATGGATACAAATTATTCAAGCTTACAAATCTATTGTGTTCCTTTTCAAATAACTTTATAGATGAAGAATACATACAAACTTTCACATTTTGTTTAGTGTCTGAGGCCTTATTGACTGAGATAGGGAATTACTATCATGCCATGAAGCTTGCACCAAGATTCAGTATTTAGGAGAACTCCCATTGAACTCCTAATTTAATTAATATATGTAAGTTTATTTTTATTTTGTGGGTCACTCCTGTTGTGCCAAGGGGTTACTTCCTGCCTGGTGGTGCTAGATGACAATAAACATGCTGGTGATTAAACTGAGATCAAAGGCACGAAAGAAGGCAAGAACTATACCTCCTATTTATTTTATAGTTAAACTAATTTTCAAAACATGTCTTCAGAAAAATTTTATTTATAAATTATTTGTAATTAGAGTATACTAATTTTGATTTTTATCTGTCATTATTATGTTAGTGCAAATAATAATAGCTCTGACTGCTCTTAAATAGTAAATTCATGTCTAAAGACTTTTTAAAGAAGATAATGTCCTATATTTGAGTATAAGTATACAGGGTAACGACACTTATGATCAAATAGTTCATAATATTTGATTATCTACATCACAGACTTTTATATATCTACATTATTTACTTCAATATACCACAGACTATTTAATTTGTACCATTTCAGTCTGCGTTCTGCTTCCTTTGCCACTTTCATCTACATTAGGGCAGTAAGAAAAAAAATATGCTTTATAAGATTCTATAAGTATAGATCTAAAAATGTCTCTGATTCGTAAGCAAGCACTTAATGCATGACTCAATGCTTTATGCATAAGTCCTGAATTTGCAATTCTTCCTTGGCAAGATTCCCATAGTTTAGTGCTCACAAAGGAAGTTTGCTGAGTGGACAATAAAAGCACCAAATGAGCCAGAAGACATTCACTCATACAGAATGGATGAGTATATTTTTCCGATATCACTCTGTCAGATATTAATTTTGTGAGCCTTTGTCTCCTATACATGCAAAGTATCATGCACCATCTATTCAATGGTAGATGTACTTTTCTGTATTACTCTCCCTGTATCTATCTTTTCTTCAATGTCTCAATGTTTGCCTCATTTTTCCCCCATTGGAAGTATTCCAGCATGAAATGCATACAGTAAAATAAGAAAGAATTGAATTATGCTGCACGTATTGTAGGTTATAAATAACTAAATTATTTATCATACTAAATACAGTACATATTTATTTAAATGTTTAATGTAGTTTAATGTAATTTACAAAGTTATTAAAATAATTATTAGTCTGTGACAGAAAAAATTGTGAATTTTACTTAATTTTACAGGCAAAATTTTAGAACTTTTAATTGATCATTTTATTTAATCCTATAATTTGATGTTTAATCTCTTGCAATTAAACAATTGGTGATTAAATTTTTTATCGGGTTGATCTATTTATGCTTAGTATTAGTTTTTCTTAATTTATTGAAGTAACATTGGTATTCATTACATAATTTAAAGTACCAACTAGAAAACTACTTTTTATAAAAAATCAAAATTTTATTTTTTAATTAGTTCCTTATCTCTCGAACTGTTGAATAATGCTACCTTCCACATTTAAGAAGTTGAAATTATTTAAAATTTATCTTGTCATGGAAACATAAAACTGAAGACTGATCAGTTATTTGATTTAAAAAAATTCTGAGCCACATTTGGCTGTGCTCAGTCAGGACTTACTCCTGGCCCTGAACTCCAGGAATATTCCTGGCAGGCTCGGGGACCTATGGAATATGAGGAAAATACTCCAGCTCTGTGCAAATAGGGCAGAAACCCTACCTACTGTAAAATCTCTCTGGTCCCTGAAGATGATAATTTTTAAGCTAAAATTAAGTCTAAAAAAAATCAGTTTTTTTCTGCTTTATTAGTGGTATGTTAAACAGTGCCATTCAATGATAGCTATAGTGAAGGAGAAGATCAATGTACAACAAAGTTTCAGCCGTTGCCTGAGAAAAACAGAGTGTTTGACATTTTTTACATTCTGATTTTAAAAAAGCATATGCAATATATTTTAGTTAGAAAAATTAAAATCTTTACAGAAAGAATAATGGGAAGTGGAAGCTTTAAGTGCAGATGTTTCTTGGCTGCCTGTTTTACATGGAGTAGCCCTTCTAAAGGGCAATCCAGATTTAGCACAATTATATACTGGTTTCTTTACTAGCTGTGTTTGAACAAACAGTTCTCACAGTTTCAAAAATAGAATCAGGCACGATCTCTCATTTTTTGGGTAATCATTCGTTGTAACTACCAAACTTCTGTAAAGAAAGCATTAATAATCCACCAAGTACTCACTTTGGCAGCACATACACTAAAATTAGAATGATACAGAAATTAGCATGGCCCTTGTGCAGGAATGGCATGCAAATTTGTGAAGCATTTCATATTAAAAATGAATCATCTTCACAAAGGCTCTACGTTATTATAAAAATGAAGAGGTTTTGTACAAAGCAGTATGCACAAAATTAAAAAAATGGCATTTTGTAATATGGAGAGTTACTACTTAGCACATGTTGAAAGGAGTACAAAAGGACATATTGAAAAGGCAGGAGGAAAATTTAAAATAAAACTTAGAAAGGCTAGTGAGAATATTAAAAACATATATTTAGTATTTGTTTACTACTACACAAGCACTTCCACCAACAATAAGAATGGAATAAGCTTGCTCATAAATCATCTTCATCTTTTAAATTACACATTTAAAATTAAAAAAAAAGCTGTTCGACTATGCAAATCATCTAAGATCCTGAATATCAAAAAATTTTAAACAGAGTAAATAATAATTAGTAGTGTGAGGGGGTATGGTGCTGCCAGCTGGTCAATCTGTACCTGTGAGGCGAGTATATCAACAGCATGTGGGTACCTTCAAACTTCAAGAAACCCCAAAATTGTATGACCAAGACTTAAACCCAAAAACTTTGTAACTGCTCTCATGGTGAATCAATAAATAAATTTATAAAAAAGAAAAAAAAAGTAAGTTGGAGTTGATGCCCAATTTAACCACCGTAATCAGTGGCTGAATAATTAGCAATACTCCTACATTAAAGAAAAAAATAATAGTAGTGTGAGCCATTATGTAACTCTTAGTTTATATAATTTATCTTTAAAATTGTAGCACTGAATTAAATATTACAGAATAAATTTGAAAGTTTCTTTAATTTAGGAAAGGGGTTGATACTATACAATGAGTGATTTCAGCCATCCACTGTGGGTTTTGGAACCCACATATAAGGGACATTGCTGTATTGTAGTCTTACATCTTTTTATTTTTCTTTTATTCTTTGAATTGCACTTGTAGTGCTCCTTTTATGACCCCCTTTTCTAGTTCATATTTCACTTTGCTCACTGGAGAGCAAACCTAACCTCTGCCTTTAGTGTTAGCTGATAAATTCTTTAACAACCCACCCATCACACAGATGATTGCTTTAGGTCTTGGATGAAAGATGAGTCTATTCTCAACTCCAGTGTCTATAATTAACCATCAATGGACGCTCAGAGATCTATACAGACCTTTTTCTTAAATAAGAGCTCCACTTCAGCAAACAGTGAACTGGAGTGAGAATTGAAACCTTTGCTTGAAACCCTTGCTTATTAAAAGGAGCTTTAGTGCCTTGCTCGAGCTCGAGCGGGCCCAGTAACGTCTCCATTGGAGACTTTGTTGTTACTGTGTCTGGCATATCGAATACTCTCGGCAGCTTGCCGGGCTCTCCGAGAGGGGCGGAGGAATCGAACTTGGGTCAGCCATGTTGGCTGCGTGCAAGGCAAACGCCCTACCCGCTGTGCTATCGGGCTGGAGCGATAGCACAGCGGGTAGGGCGTTCGCCTTACAAGCGGCCAACATGGCCGACCCGAGTTCGATTCCTCCGCCCCTCTCGGAGAGCCCGGCAAGCGACCGAGAGTATTGGATATGCCAGACACAGTAACAACAAAGTCTCCAATGGAGACGTTACTGGGCCCGCTCGAGCAAATCGACGATCAACGGGAGGGCCTTTACCTTTACCTTTAGTGCCTTGACCTCCTAGGAGTGCAACTCCTCCTCATCAGGATTTAAAAGGATTAGACCACAGCACTGTAGTTTCATTATGGTTCACTATTTTGAATTTTCTTATCTCTTTTTCGTTTTTTTCTTTTCTTTTCTCCCCGATTTTTCCTCTTGTTTATTAATGTATGTATGTATGTATGTATGTATGTATGTATGTATGTATTCATTCATTGTCCAGTAGGGGGAGCACACCTAGCTATACTCAGGGAATATATCTGGCTCTATGTTCTGGAATCACTCCTGGTGATGCTTGGAGAAACTTATGTGGTGCTAAGGATCAAAAAGAATTCACTGCATGCAAGGAAAGTGCCTTATCCGTCGTAGTATCTCTCTGGCTCCAAAGATTTTTAAGTACATGTATTTTATATTTCCCTCTGGGGAAGAGAGAAATAGTGATTCCAGCAATCATTACTCATGTTAATTTTTTTTTTAACATTGTAGGAGAGGGTATGGGGCTACATCGGGCAGTTCGCAGGGTTTATTCTTGGCTTTGAACGCAGGGATCACGCCTGGCAGGTGCCAGATCATCAGGGTGACAGAGACAGCTGTATGCAAGGGCAATACCACTGTGTATCTCTCCAGTCTCTTTTTGCACATTTTGTTTTATCGATCTTCTTCTATTTTTCATAGGGAGAGCACTCAGCAGTGTTCAGTAATTATTCCAGGAGGTACTTTGAAGAAACAAATCTGTTGTCTGGAAGCAAACCGGGGTCAGTCACATGAAAGACAGACCTTGCATCCTGCACTATCTCTCTGGCTCTTCTTTTGTTTTAAATTCTAATATATCTGCATTTGAATATAAATGTTTCAGTTTATTCATTTTCATTCTCCACCCAGATCCTCAATCTTCCAGTAGGCCGGGATCACACCCACCAACTGCCTCCCCACCCCCACCCAGTGTAATCAACACCGTGTAATCCCATCAACAGCCAAACCCAGAGACTATAAAACCCTGCTTCCGGAAGCAACATCTTATTATCTCATCTTGCTTTGGACAACCTGGCAGGCTACCGAATCTAACCTGCCCACACGGCAGAGTCTGGCAAACTCCCCGTGGCGTACCCAATATGCCAAATACCAGTAACAATGATGTGCCTCATTCTCCTAACCCTGAAAGAGCCTTGAATGTGGCACTTTTTAGAATCTCAGGGCTAGGATTAAGGAGACGTTACTGGTGCCTGCTCGAGGCAATCGATGAACAACAGGATGACTGTGATCGTGATTGTGATTCATTTTCATTATGTATTTTGAAGGCTGGAGTGATAGCACAGCGAGTAGGGCGTTCGCCTTACAAGCGGTCAACATGGCCGACCCAAGTTCGATTCCTCCGCCCCTCTCGGAGAGCCCGGCAAGCTACCGAGAGTATTCGATATGCCAGACACAGTAACAACAAAGTCTCCAATGGAGATGTTACTGGGCCCGCTCGAGCAAATCGACGATCAACGGGAGGGCCTTTACCTTTACCTTTACCTATTTTGAAGTATTTGAGGGAAATAAGAGGCATCAAAGCTTGAATATATATTTCATTTTCCATAGAAGACAAAACTTTAAATAGTCTTACTCTCTGTTCTACCTTATAATTACTGAATTAGCATCACTGATTATAAGATGTGACAAAGAATTAAAATGTTTCTGTTATATTGAAATAAAATGTGCTATATATTTAAAAGTATATTTAATAATAAAGATGCATTTATATTATTATTGAAAAGTAGATCATAATTAACAAGTGTTTTCTGTGAAAACCTGAGTTATTTTTTATTTTTACACAAGCATTTAATATTAAAATATATATTGAGTTGAACTTCCTGAATTAAATGTGGAAACATATAATATTAATTTCCAGTTATGATTTTAGATTTTTAATTTGAAAAGGATTTATAGCATCATTGTGTGATTAAACTAAGCAATGTTATCCAATCATCTTGATCACTTTACTTCCCCTTAAACGTCGATATGCTCGAGTGGGCGCCAGTAACATCTCCATTTGTCCCTGTCACGTGCTAGTGTAGTCCAATGGCATCTGTTCGCTCTAGGAACACGAAGAGCCTCAAACCGATCATTCATGATCTTGATGAAGAAGTCTGACCATCTGGTAGCCAAGCGGTCTTTTGACATCCCGTGGAATTCAGTCAGTAACAGCTCTAGTCCGGCGGTCATCTTTAAATCTCATTACATGACCAGCCCATCTGATTTTTGACACCTTGGCAAACGAGACAACGTCCCTGATTCTTGATCGTTGACGGATGTCAGAACTCCGGATTCTTTCTCTCATTTGAGTGAAACATGATATTCCAAGCATAGCTCTTTCAATTCCTCTTTGGGAGACCCGAATAGCGTTCTCATCCTGATTGTGTAGGGCCCAGGTCTCTGAGGCGTATGTTAATGCAGGAAGAACAGTGGAATCATCTACCAGCACTTCTGCTCTTCTCTCTTTGAGGTTCTTCCTTGATCATAGCTCTGCACTGCTTTGCAAGCTCGGACGTTTGCTTGCGGTTGCCTGAGGCATGCGCCAAACCACGTTGGCGAATAAGCTCAAAGTTTTCAAAGACAGGCGTTTTTTTGTGACTATCTCTCTCGGCATTCCTCACATAATCATGGAGGTGCTGAACCAGTCGATCGTATTCCTCCTCAATGTTGTCAACAATGGCATCTTTCCATGTTGCTGCAATAGTGCCAAAGAGCTCCCAGTTGGTGGTCTTTCTGAGAGTTCTCTTTTTAAACTTTGCAGCCCTTTCTCCCTGCTCTGTGAAGTAGAATTTTGCATGAAGGAGACGGTGGTTCGATCCCGTTTGAAATTTTGGGACAACAGCGACATCAATCAGGCAAAACCGTCGATTGAATATGATGTGGTCTATTACGTTGTGTAATTGTCCACCGGGACACTCCCATGTCCAACGTTTAGATTCGGCCTTCTGGAATCTTGAGTTACCATGGATGGTCTTGATCGACATGATGAACTCAGTTTCTCACCCTGTTCATTCCATTCTAGGCCATGGGTCTTGTTGTGAAGTTCTTCAGCTGTTCTTCTTGGTCCTATCTTGGCATTAAAATCACCCACAATGATCTTGTAGAAGGTGTGGTCTTCTTTATAGAACTTCTCTAGCTCCATGTAGAACTTCTCAATTTCTCCTTCATCATAATTAGATGTTGGTGCGTAGACAATGAAGATAGAAACTGCTGGCAGTAAGCCACATCTATTCAAATGTAAACGTCGGATTCAGGTTGTTAGGCATTCGAATGAATCAATGCTCATGGCCAAGTTTGTGTTGACAAGGACACTGACGCCTACGAAACCTCTTTTATCGCATGTCCCGAGGAACAATTCTTCTCCAGTGTCGAAAATGGCATAATGATATTGGTGCCTTCTTGTCTCGGTCAGACCAATGATGTCGTACTTGATCTTTCTTGCTTGTACCATCAGGTCCTCGATGGATGCATCTGATGCTAGCGTACGTGAATTGAAAGTACAATCATTTTTGTATTCCTTCGTTGTGGCAGCCTAGTTAGGCCTTGAGATTTTATCGGCCTCTCCTTTCTCATCCTTCTCAATGCTGCCATATTGGTGAAGCCTTCAGGGTCAGGTGAATGAGACCCATTGTAATTACTGGTTTTGGCATATCAAATACACAACGGATAGCTTGCGAGGCTCTGCCGTGTGGGCGGAATACTCTCGGTAGCTTGCCAGGCTTTCTGAGAGGGATAGAGGCCTTAGGGGCAACCTCTAATCGCCCTCGTAGGTGTTACCATATTTGAACCCTATCAAATATGGTACGGCAATATCCAATCATCTAAATGTAGATTTTCTTATAAACATGTATACTAATCAATAATCAGATACTTTAAAAATCTAGTTTCTTTTGTGTAGGATAACATTGCCACAGGGAGCTTATTTATCAGGTTATGCCCATCACAGTGCTCCCGAATCACTCCCATTCCTCTATTTATCTGTAAACTCTTCTCTGTGCTCTCCTACCCAGTCAGTTAATCACCTTTTCTCCCTAATCATATTCTGTTAGCTTGTAAGGTCAGATCCTTCTTAGGACACTGAATTTGTATTTTAAATATGTCTTTGGCATAGTTTACTTTAAAGCAATGTCCTTTCTGTATGGACACAGGAAGACAGTTAATATTATGCTTTAATAACTTGGGAGTTGATTGGCTTCAAATAATATTTACTACTGGTCATCTGCTTTCTTGATTCAGTTGCCCTTAGTTCCTAGCACCCCAAAAATTGTGTCTCAGTGAGGGACTGAATGGACCCAGGACAAGCTGTGAGCTACCCTGGCATCAAAATGGGCCAGGCCAACGCACCACAATACTCAACTACAAGTTGAGGGCATGGTCATAGATAAATGCTTTCATGATCCAAAAGTAAGTAATGATGAGACTAGGACCCTGCTGGGGCTAGGAAGACTAACCTGGCCTGAGAACTGTGGAATATATAGTGAGATGTCCTCAGGAAGAACCAAACTGTAAGTTTATATCTCTTACTGTGCTCATACAGAATGGCATTGCTAGGAATATTGGAAGTAGATTTACTACAACTATTTAAGTACATTAATAGCTGAGAAAAGAACACACCCTTGTTGGAATCTCACACTTGAGCGGATCTCCTAGTAATCTGGAATAATCTCTTTAGATGAGATTTTATCCTTGAGTTAATCTCCTGGAGGAGTGGTCTTACCTCTCTTTGTTGATTTGTTAATGTTCAACTCCCTTTGTGTCACCACCCTATGTGATTGCTATATAAACTAAGACTGTAAAGGCAGGGAGGTGGAGGCGGAGGCGCAGGCTCAAATTCAGACTCAGGCTCAGGCTCGGGCTCTGGCTCCAGAGGGCAGAGTCAGAAGTGAGAGGGAGGGGCTCAGGCATGAGAGAGAGAAGCAGAAGGGGAGTGAAAATTGGAATAAACTATAATTGATACCAACCAGCCTGGCCTTTGTTCCTTCCTTCGCCTGCTCATTGCCATCGATCTCCCCAGGATGAGGAAATGGCTAGATACTACAGAACAAGGGTGGCAGAAGAGACAGCGCCACCAGACTTTTGAAAACACACACTTTTGGAAGGGGTATAGACCATACCTAGCTGTGATCAGAGCTGCCTTTCTAGCTCTGTGTTAGAAATCACTCCTTATTCCTAGCTTTGTGCTAAGGATACATTATGTGGTACTGTATATTGAATTGGCGTCAGTTTTATTCAGGACAAACACTTTAAACCTTCCAGTATTTCTACCCCAAGAAGTCTGATGTCTCTAAAATATATTATTCAGGTGAATACAAAATCTGAATTTCTCAATTTTTATCCTTTGAATAATAAAATCAGCAATATTTCACTTCTAACATCTATGAATATTCTTAAAAGACTAAAGATTCTGAGTACTACGTTAAAGGAACATAAAATTGTGTATGCAAGACATACACAAATGCAGACAGTTATCTACAATAACTGTTATTGGTGATGATAATGAAATAACTTTGTATACAATAATACTTTAAAAAGAAATACAAATACATGTGTTTGGATATGTAGGTTTGGATATCATAATATGCTTTTAGTATTTATTTAAATTCAATTAAGTATGTAGGCTAAGAAAATAATCATGTGATCTTGTATTCCATTAAATAACAATTTTGTTTAATTTAAAATTCATTAAAGAGTTGTAAAAATATGACTTGAGGGTATGATTTTTACACACTGCTACACTGATTAATGGGGTCTCTATGCAGCCTTCATTTCTCTAACTGAATTTTCTGTCACTTCCCCTTCCCCCAACTTTCCAACTTTAAGATATGACTATAAAAGTTTAATCAAAGACTTTTTGTTTAAATGAAAATTGCCAGTAAATTGGAAATTTTATCATTCCCCAGGCAAACTATTTATACAGATCACTTTTTCTATGGCAACTACAGAAACAAATTATCTTTAACATCTAATACTGTAGATGTATTCTCTTGTTTCAATAGTTCAATGAAGAGGGGTACTATGGAAAATTTGTATTTTGATTATTTTGACAATAAAATTCAGCAAACTCTGAGGACAAAACCACGCCTATACAACGTTTTGGTAAGGATTAATAAGAAACAGAATGCTTTACTCTTATTTATTTATACATATGGGAACAAAATTTGATGTATGGCATATCAGAATCTACATTACTCCTAGTCTACAAAATGGAAAGTATGGGGAAAAATAAATTGCATCAGCAGGAGCATTAGATTTAGGTGGAATTCTAATGCTCTTACACAGTGACCCAGATAACATTTCTTGTCGATTCTAATTTTATCTACCAAGATGAGATCCCTTGGATATAGTTTCTACTAAATTTCTCCTCATTATGGAATTTGTCCCATACTTGAACTGACAGAATGGCAAGCTAGGGCAGAGAAAATAATAATGTTGCATAGCTCTTCCTTTTTTCATGAATGTTTGGTTTCCAGAGCTATTTTCAATAGGATTTATCTTGGGCATTTATTAAATATAGCACTGTAGCTACAGTGTCCTCCCATTGTTCATTGATTTGCTCGAGCAGGCACCAGTAATGTCTCCATTGTGAGACTTGTTATTACTGTTTTTGGCATATCGAATAAACCATGGGGAGCTTTCCAGGCTCTGCCATGTGGGCAGAATAGTCTTGGTAGCTTGCCAGGTTCTCTGAGAGGGACAGAGGAATAGAACCTGGGTTGGCCACGTGTAAGGCAAATGCCCTACCCACTGTGCTATCACTCCAGCCCATTATAAAATGTACAGCTATATTATATAATGTTGATTTCCTTAGTCTGCTACAAGTTTCTCATTCATAAATCACCTACTCATTTTTCAAAGCTTTTACAAAATAACATTATTGACATAGCAACTCTTTTCATTGTTGACTCATGGTACAGTTTGACATGTTATGACAAGGATAAGTTCTTATTTTCCTTCTCTCAAAAAATAAGGCATCTGAGAATTTAGTTTTGAAAGCCCAGAAAATAATTTATATGTCATTTTATTGCATATGACTAAATGCACAATAGGGCAATATATATTTACATTTCATGGTACTCTATTACCTTTATCTTTAAGGGAAGCTGGAGCCTTCACTTCTTTCCCCTTAACAGACTCTGGAAAGAAACATTGAACAATCATTTGACTCACATAGAATAGATGAAATTCAAATATGTGTACATGTAAGAATCACTGAACTACTGGTACTGAGAATGCAAAAGAAAATGATGTTTTCTTTAAAACTTTTATTTATCATACAGAGATAAAGAAACAATAATGTAAAGTATAAAACTCCCCTCTACTTTTATTGACAAGAAAGGCAAATTGTTTGATCTGTTACAACCTATTTGTTTATTTAAAATGATCATTTGAATAGATAGGAATGTAATTTATCTGCAATGTTTTTGAGGAGCACATTAGGTCAGACCCAGTGTTGCTCACAAGCTGGTCCTCCCTCTGTGTTCAGAAGTGAGTGACCACTGGGGTTCTGGAGGACCACATATGGTCCCCAAAGATAAATTCGGGATCAGTTACATGCAAGACAGGTGCTTTATCTCCTATGCTATCTCTCCAGCTCATTTATCTGTTCATTATTTTATAATATATTTGAGGACTTTCTCTTTTGTCCATAATCAGCAGTGCTCAGGATTTCCTTCTGGCTCTGAGCTCAGGGATTTTGCCTGCCAGGGTTAGGGAGACCCTATACAGTGTCAGGATAAAACCAGGGTCAGTCACATATAAGTGTCTTACCTGCAGTACTATCTCTCCTCCTCATTTGTAATTTTTTAAATATAATGTCAGCATATTTACATCCTCCAAAGTGTCATATCCATAACAAATTTCATATTCTCTTAGGTTACTTTTAAATAATCATATTGCAAAAGCTGAATAAATCATGTTAAATTTACATTTTCATAATCAGAATTCAGTAAAACATTTTTCGTGAGTAATGTGATTTGAAAAGCAAGTTCATCTAAGAATTTTGATTGCCTTAAATATGCAGTCCTTAGGTAAGTCAAATAAAACTTCATTTGTATTACCAGTTCCAAGTATATAGTAACTCTGATAATTTTGTGAATTGCAGACAAACAAGTAAGCAATGAAATCTACTAAAGAATAAAAGACACAACCAGCTTTATGCTTCATATGTAACATTAAACCTTAAAATCTATTTTACTGACAAAATGAGTTTTAATTCAGTAAGAAGGAAAAAAGGAAAAAAGTGCATTTCTCTAAACTATTTTTAAAAATATTCCCATAATATCTTTATAGTTCTTATAAATGGGTAGATAGCTGAAGTAATTGTTTAGAATTCTTTGAGTCCAGTAGTGTCAAAAATTTATTTATTTCCAATGAAAACAGTGCATTCCTCAATACAGGATATTATGTGTAGTTAAGCTACAACTTTAGACAGTTATAAAATTCTAAAATTGACTTTAGTGACATGAAATATTCATGTTGGCATGTATTGTGCTGAGTGTAAGTAGGGATAGAGTTTTTTCAGCATGTAAGGCTGAAATCATTAGTCATAGATTGAATAATCATACTGAGAAGCTTCATTAACTTTCTATACACGAATGGGGGTAATTTACTGCTTTTGCATTTCCTGGCTCAACCAAAAGAATTAATGAGTTGTGAAATGACAAGTAGTGGTGGAGGCATATTCTCAGTGGAGTGGGTGAGTACAATGCTTGAAAACTTCACAATTCATGACTGAGCAGGTAGATTTAAATAGATGAGTATATATGTTTTCGTGAATTGAAGTTATACAGTTCAAAACCTAGAGAGAAAGGCTGTGACTGTTGATTTTTTTGTGTGAGGATAAAGTACGTTGAATAACAAAGAAACTTATCTTTGGTTTGTTTTTGGGTTTATGGGACACACTTGGTGATGCTCAGGCATTACTTCTATCTCTGCACTCAGGAATCAATCTTGGCAATTCTCTGGGGTATAAGAAATATCAGGATCAAACCGAGGTCAGCCATGGGGAAGGCAAGAGCTTTCCCCACTGGATTATCTATCCAACACACAGATTGATAAACTTTTACAGGATATATGAAGGTCATAAATCCATCACACTGAATTTGGAGAATGAATGTTCTATTTGCTAATGGGATCACTCTTGCTTTTTCTGCTCCTATGCTTGGTTTTCTTCTACAAACTTTAATACTATGCCTTTTCTTGGTTTACTTGGTGAAGCTTAGTTACTTTATCAAGTTGACAGTCTAGTCTGAGTAGTCCCTAATTACTCAATGGAGTGAGTGAGGTATCAAGTCTGATTGATCCTTACACACATAAAGGAAATTCTGTATGGAAATTCTGTACTTCAGCATTAGGGAGGATAGGACATCATTGATTTTATGTCACTTCTCAAGGCATCTTTAAGTTCATTTCTCATGCCTATCAAAAGAAAATCTTTGAAGAACAGATTAAAAAATAAATTGTTTCCCTTCCTTGCTTCCTTATCTCCCTCCTTCCTGTTTTTATTTTTGGTAGTTTTTCAAAGGCCTGGGGGGCAGATTGTGAATTATCAGGGTGTATCACTGTCTTCCTGTTGTTCATTGATTGCCTTGAGCAGACCCTAGTACCATATCCTTCATCCTAGCCCTGAGATTTTAAGAAGTGCCATATTCAAGGCTCTTTCAGGGTCAGGAGAATGAGACCCATAATTGTTACTGGTTTTTGGCATATTGAATACACCACGGGGAGTTTGTTCAGACTCTGCCGTGTGGGCAGAATACTTTTGGTAGCCTGCCAGTTTCTCCAGAGTAAAAACTCACTTCCGGGAGCAGGGTTTTATAGTCTCTGGGTCTTGGCTGTTGATGAAATTACATGGCACCGGGGGCAGTTGGTGGGTGTAATGCCTACATACTGGAAGATGCAGGATCTGGGTGGAGGAGGCCCCAGTCCCAATCCAAGCAGGCTTGGAGATCTACACCCCAGGTCCCGCACACCTGGGTTCCTCAGCCAGTTCCTTCATGTGTAAGGCTATTCCAAATGTGTAGAGAGTGGTCCTAAGAATGTCTGTGGCTGGAACTGGAGGTCTTCAGCTGCCGGGGCTCTGCTCAGGGTGGGGAGGGAAATTCAACCCACCATCCTCCAAGGCGCGGAGTCAGGAGACTCTGCGTTGGTCTCAGGGTATATGTAGTACTTAATGGTGCTTGGATATTAGCTGTGTTTTGTCAAAATAGTCTGAGCAATTACGAAGGTGAAAGAAACTAGTAAAGAAGGTTTAAGTTTGTCTTTCCCCTGACCTGATTCCAGAGACAAAGACAGTGGTAGATTAGCATGAATATCATGATGAAATTTAGATCATTAGGATACATTTTAAACTCATCAGTAGCTTATTCCACCATTAACTCCAGTTATTTGATAAGAAATAACCAAGAAAAATCATAGTGAAGACATAAAACAGTTGCATGTCAGTAGTGATGCACACTGAACATCAGGCCATTAAAGAAGATAAGTATGCTGAGAATTCTCTATTATTAGATCCAAAGAAACAATCGTGGGTCACAAATCTGGTGATTCTATCTGATGTCCAGCCCAACTACTCTAAACCTGAGGAACTGCTATCACTTTCTCTGTAGAATAGGAATTAACTAAACTTTCCTCTGCTTTCGGGGATTTTTTGGTCCGTAATTCCTCATTCAATGAATGAATCTTAAATCCTCAGATGAGCCAAAGCAGCCCTTAGAAGTCTGTAGTATTAGAATAGGAGTAAATGCTAGAAAAAATATAACTGATAATATGGTCAGCCAACAGAATTTTGTAGATTCTGAGTGAATATGGCCACAAAAACAGGCTTTGTTCTAAAAGGAACTAGCAACAAAAGACAACAAATCATGTACTCCTCTAATACTTGGAATAGTCTTCCAAAGAGCTCTCTATACCTCCTTAAAAATACAATCTAAAGATATTTCTCTAATTAACTCAGGGTTATCACATTCCCAGCAAGTGTGCCCTAAACAATTTCTTTTGTTTTTTTTAAATTTTTTTTTCTTTATTAGTGAAACTTCATGTGGCGCAGATGTTGACCATACATATTTCTGAGCTTGGGTTTCAGTTATACAATGATTGAGTACCCATCCCTCCACTGGTACCAATTCCCCACCTCTAATGCTCCCAGGATCCCTCCCACTGCCCCTGCCCCGCAACCCACCCCAACCCTGTGGCAAGGCATTCCCTTTTGTTCTCTCTCTCCTTTTGGGTGCTGTGGTTTGCAAAAGAGGCATTGAGTGGCAATCATGTTCGGTCTATAATCTATTTTCACATCCATCTCTCATCCTGGGAGGGTCATCCCAACACCCTTTACTTGGTGCTCCCCTCTCTATCTGAGCTGCCTTCTCCCTCAGCATGTGTAGCTGGCCTCCAAGCCATGGAGTGAACCCCCTGGTTCTTATCTCAGCTATTCTTGGGTGTTAGTCTCCCTTTTGTTACTTTATATTCCCCAGATGAATGCAATATTTCTATGTCTGTTCCTCTCTTTCTGACTCATTTAGCTTAGCATGATACTTTCGATGTAGTATCACTTGTATGTAAATTTCATTACTTCATCTTTTCTAACAGTTGCATAGCACTCCATTGTGTAGATGTACCAAAGTTTCTTTAACCAGTTATCTGTGTTCGGGCACTCGGGTTTTTTTTTCAGATTTTGGCTATTGTGAACAGTGCAGCAATGAACATAGAAGTGCAAATGCATTATGTCATTTCAATTGTACGTTTTTGCCTCACCAGGGTATATTCCCAGGAGTGGTATTGCTGGGTCAAATGAATTCTTTGAAGAATGTCATGGGTACCCTTATAGGGATTGCATTGAATTTATACAATGCTTTCAGTAGTGTTGCCATTTTGACAATGTTAAGTCTCTCGACCCATGAGCAGGGCATATCTTTCCATTTCCTCATGTCCTCTTTTATTTCCTGAAGTAGCGTTTTGTAGTTTTCTTTCTACAGGTCCTTTACTTCCTTAGTTAAGCTGATTCCTAGGTACTTGATTTTCTGGGGAACAATTGTGAACGGGATCATTTTTTTCATGTATCTTCTCTCTCACTGTTTGCGTATAGGAAAGCCATGGACTTGTGGGTATTGATTTTATAGCCTGCAACTTTACTATA